TGAAGGTGGAGCTTCGCGTGGATGTCAGGACACCAGATGAGAAGGCTGCACCTTCCTTTCTGTCTGAATGTGGAGCTCGGCTGGGTGTCAGGACAGCAGGTGAGATGCCTGTCCCTTGCATTCCGTCTGAATGTGGAGCTCGGCTGGGTGTCAGGACAGCAGGTGAAAGCCTGCACCTGGCTTTCAGTCTGAAGGTGGAGCTCCGCTGGGTGTCAGGACAGCAGGTGAGTTGCCTGCACCTGGCTTTCAGTCTGCAGGTGGAGTTTCACCTGCGTGTCAGGACACCAAATAGAAGCCTGTACCTCACTTTCAGTCTGAAGGTGGAGCTTCGCCTGGGTGTCAGGACACCAGATGAGAAGCCTGCACCTCACTTCACATCTTAGTTGGAGTATCGCCTCGGTGTCAGGACACCAGATGAGAAGCCTCCACCTGGCTTGCAGTCTGAAGGTGGAGCTTCACCTGGGCGTCAGGACACCACATCAGAAGCCTGAACCTCATTCACGTCTGGAGGTGGAGCTTCACCTTGGTGTCAGAACACCAGATGAGCCTGCACATGGCTTTCAGTCTCAAGGTGGAACTTCCCCTGGTTGTCAGGCCACCAGATGACAAGCCTGCATCTTGCTTTCAGTCTGAAGGTGGAGCTTCGCCTGGGTGTCAGGATACCAGATGAGAAGTCTGTACCTGGCTTTCAGACTGAAGGTGGAGCTTCGCCTGGGCGTCAGGACACCATATGAGAAGCCAGCACCTGGCTTTGATTCTTAACGGGGAGCTTCACCTGGGTATCAGGACACCAGATCAGAAGCCTGTCCCTCTCTTCACGTCTGAAGATGGAGCTTCACCTTGGTGTCAGGACACCAGATGAGAAGCCTGTATCTGGCTTTCAGTCTGAAGGGGGAGCTTCACCTGGGTGTCAGGACAACAGATGAGAAGCCTGCACCTGGCTTTCAGTATGCAGGTGGAGCTCAGCTGGGCGTCAGGACAGCAGATGAGAAGACTGCTCATGGCTTTCAGTCTGAAGGTGGAGCTTCCCCTGGGTTTGAGGACACCAGATGAGAAGACTGTACCGCACATCACGTCGGAATGTGGAGCTTCGCCTGGGTGTCAGGACACCAGATGAGAAGCCTGCACCAGGCTTTCAGTCTGAAGGTGGAGCTTCGCCTGGGTGTCAGGACACCAGATGAGAAGCCTGTACATGGCTTTCAGTATGCAGGTGGAGCTTTACCTGGGTTCAGGACACCAGATCAGAAGCTAGAACCTCGCTTCACATCTGCAGTTGGAGTATCACCTGGGTGTCAGGACACCAGATAAGAAGCCTGCACCTCGCTTTAAGTCTGAAGGGGGAGCTTCGCCTGGGTGTCAGGACACCAGATGAGAAGCCTGCACCTCGCTTTCAGTCTGAAGGTGGAGCTTTGCCTGGGCGTCAGGACACCAGATGAGAAGCCTGCACCTGGCTTTCAGTCTGAAGGTGGAGCTTCACTTGGGCGTCAGAACACCAGATGAGAAGCCTGCACCTCGCATCATGTTTGAAGGTGGAGCTTCGTCTCGGTGTCAGGACACCCGATGAGAAGCCTGTACCTCCCATCGCGTCAGAAGGGGGAGCTTCACCTGGGTGTCTGGAAACCAGATGAGAAGCCTGAACCTCGCTAATCATCTTGAGGTGGAGACTCGCCTGGTGTCTGGACACCAGATGAGAAGTCTCCACTTTGCATCACCTCTGAAGGTGAAGCTTCACCTGAATGTCAGGAAACCAGATGAGAAGCCTGCACCTCACTTTCAGTCTGAAGGTGGAGCTTCGCCTGGGTTTCAGGACACCAGATGAGAAACCTGCACCTGGGTTTCAGTCTGAAGGTGCAGCTTTGCCTTGCTGTTAGGACACCAGGTGAGAAGCCTGAACCTCGCTTTCAGTCTGAAAGTGGAGCTTCTCGTGGCCATAGGACACCAGATGAGAAGCCTGCACCTCGCTTTCAGTCTGAAGGGGGAGTTTCTGTTGGGAATCAGGATAATAGATGAGAAGGCTGAACCGCGCTTTCAGTCTGAAGGGGGAGCTTTATTGGGCATCAGGACACCCGAATAGAAGCGTGAACCTCCTTCACGTCTGGAGGAGGAGTTTCGCCTGGGCATCAGGACACCAGATTAGAAGCCTGCACCTGGCTTTCAGTCTGAATGTGGAGTTCGGTTGGGTGTCAGGACACCACATGAGAAGCCTGCACCTCGCTTTCAGTCTGAAGGTGGAGCTTCACTTGGGTGTCAGGACACCAGATGAGAAGCCTGCACCTGGCTTTCAGTCTGAAGGGGGAGCTTTGCCTGGGCGTCAGGACACCAGATGAGAAGCCTGCACTTCACATCACTTCTGAATGTGGAGCTTCGCCTAAGTGTCAGGATATCAGATGAGAAGCCTGCACCAAGTTTTTAATCTGCAGGTGGTTCTTCGCCTGGGTGTCAGGACACCAGATGAGAAGCCTGCACCTGGCTTTCAGTCTGAAGGGGGAGCTTCGGCTGGGTGTCAGGACACCAGATGAGAAGCCTGCACCTGGCTTTCAGTCTGAAGGGGGAGCTTACCTGGGCGTCAGGACACCAGATTAGAAGCCTGAACCTCCTTCACGTCTGGAGGTGGAGCTTCACCTTGGTGTCAGAACACCAGATGAGCCTGCACCTGGCTTTCAGTCTCAAGGTAGAACTTCGCCTCGTTGTCAGGCCACCAGATGAGAAGCCTGCACCTGGCTTTCAGTCTGAAGGGGGAGCTTCACCTGGGTATCAGGACACCAGATCAGAAGCCTGTCCCTCTCTTCACGTCTGAAGATGGAGCTTCGCCTCGGTGTCAGGACACCAGATGAGAAGCCTGTATCTGGCTTTCAGTATGCAGGTGGAGCTCAGCTGGGCATCAGGACAGCAGATGAGAAGACTGCTCATGGCTTTCAGTCTGAAGGTGGAGCTTCCCCTGGGTTTGAGGACACCAGATGAGAAGACTGTACCGCACATCAAACGGAATGTGGAGCTTCGCCTGGGTGTCAGGACACCAGATGAGAAGCCTGCACCAGGCTTTCAGTCTGAAGGTGGAGCTTCGCCTGGGTGTCAGGACACCAGATGAGAAGCCTGTACCTGGCTTTCAGTATGAAGGTGGAGCTTTACCTGGGTTCAGGACACCAGATTAGAAGCTAGAACCTCGCTTCACATCTGCAGTTGGAGTATCACCTGGGTGTCAGGACACCAGATAAGAAGCCTGCACCTCGCTTTCAGTCTGAAGGTGGAGCTTCGCCTGGGTGTCAGGACACCAGATGAGAAGCCTGCACCTC